CACGTTCAGCTGGTCACGGTGACACAAACCCGGTTCTTGAGCTGCTAAATTCAAGTCACTTCCTGCCACTTGAATATGCACTGCAAACCCGTTAAAAGAATGGAAGGAAGAGGAGATCTGGATCTTGGTTTGCATGCGAAGTTTTAGGGACCATTCTTTACAAGAGTAGAAAGGGATGTCCAAACAAGGGTAGGCTAAAATAGTCAAAGAAAAATAAATAAATTTGTGATTGGCTGTTAGTATCACCGGGCCTACCCAAAGCAACTCACATTTGGGAAGGAAGGGTTATTCTAGTCTCTCTGTGGACCTACTTACTGCCCTTAGCATGTGTTTTGGCCATGGTGTTTGCTTTTAGTTAATTAGCAAAATGACAGACATCAGGCTGTTGAGGCAGGACTGGAGTCTCTCCTATACACTTCTTATGAAATAAGCTATTTTTGCTGTACAGGGCAGCCATATATGGCATCAATATTGCTAATTCCAATAGAAAATATCTAAATGGTACCGGAACAGACTATCACTTCCCCAACAGCTACAAGAACCAGGCCAGAGCCCAGTCAGGCGTGCTAGGGAAGTGACAGATTTATTGTGCCTCTGGAGTAATCGGGAGCTGACACTAACTATTAAAAGAAAACTAAATGAAAAAGGAAGAACAGCAGAAAGTTGAAAGAAAAGAAGGAAAAAAGGAATAAAGTGAGGAGGTCAACCTGGGACAATACTTCCCTGGGTTTTAAAGCAGTCAGAGAAGAGAGAGAAAGTGATAAGTAGATAGTAACAATGAAAAAAGCATCTATGGTATCTGGAAAAAAGATTACATGGAAAATGGAAAAGGCTTGCCACTATCTCATAGTTTCTAAAAATACAACTCTGCACGTCTGAATACACGTCTGGAAAACACAAGACAACAATTTCTGCAATTAACCTTTAGTTATGAGAAAAGATGAGTAAGTTTCAGTAGAACTAATTCAAAACAAGAAAATCTTTTACCATTATTCAGAAAACTCTTGAAGAGAAACTGTTTCCTGGCACATATGTACATTTTGTAAAGCTGAACCACAGGGCATGTCCTTTTTATATTCCTACCCTTTTAAGCAAAATCAGTTAAGAAATGGCCCCTGGTCACAAGCACTGGTCAGGCTGTGTCTCACAAAAAAAATTCTTTCTCATGGCTCCACAGACTAAGTGGAATTTTGAGATTATTGAAGGCTTCAGATCAATAATGCCAATTTTCAGAAGGGTGTGATACGGCCTAATGTAACAGCAAGAAAAACACAAGTGGTCCCTTCTGTTGGGAGCCATGGTGGAAACAGAGGAGCTGAAAGGCAGAAGATGTGTGAAACAGTCTTAAAAGTAAAAAAAGACAGACCTGAAAAGGGTAAGAGGCAGAAGCAAGGAAGGCAAACAGAAGCAATGATAGTCTCCCATGTTGTGACAGCCAGGAAGAGAAATGATGCAGACTAAAATATTAAATGGGGCATAAAATAGAGAAGAATTCATGGAAATCTTTACTGGTGAATGAACCATAAATGTTCAATAAATTAGTGCCCCCAAGCCCATGCTTTAGACTGCACTGTGAATTAACTGCATGTTCCATCATTTTTTAATCCATTTACTTCTTTATATTTCTAAATGGAGGGTATTCACTGGTACCCATTCCATTTCCAACATGCTTACCTGTTTCCCAGAGCTACAAAATCTCAAAATGTCTCATAGACATTTTCTCTGTCTCATGGAATGGGATGTAGAGGACTATTTCATGTTAATGAACGAGTTACAGAGTTTTGAATTGCTGTAGTTATTCTAGTCCCCCTACTGATCTAGTTTATTGTCAAACAGAGAAAAAACCCTCTCTTACATGAACAAGAATTTTAATTCTTCTAATCACAGGCAATTTGCACATTTGTCTCGGAAGAAGTTGAGAACGTATCAGCAAAAGAAACCAATGGTTTTAAATCACTTGTGACCTTTGACTCCTGCAAGAATTACAAACAGCAGTGCATGTTCTCATATTTGCAAGAAAATAACGTTCTCCCCCATCTTCAAGAATTTAGGCAGAAATGTAGACACCCATGCAAAAACACAATGAAGTCCAGGTTGTCCAGGGGTGTTACAAAGAGAGGCCAATCAGCAAGTTGGTCTAAGGTACAGAAGAAAATGTCATCTACTTTGAATGTGTTCAGCATGAAGAGGCAAATGGCAGAAACGTCCATGTAGAAATCCATGTAGCCAAATGATGAAAACGACACTAAAACTGTACAAAGACCACAGAAATATTGGAATTTACAGCAAAATTTTATCAGGCTGATGAGAAAGAAGGGCAAACACAGAAGAAACAATCAAAAAGATGCAAGACTAAATGGTCTCCACCCCAAAATTCTAACTCAGAGAAGAAACTACATGAAGAATCTGCTAAGACTGTTTCACGATTCTTAAAGACCTTGGACACTCCTGTGAGTTTTCTGAAGTTTCTTCTCAATAGAGAAGATACCATGTATCCTTCAGTTAGACATTCTCTTTCCATGTCATTCATGTTACCTCGT